ATTTTTCCTAGTTCATCCCTATCCCTCTCATAGTTGTATGTAAAGCCGTATGGATGGAATTGGGAAATTTTGGGCTGGGTTGGATCACTAGCTGGTTTTGCACAAGCTTTCATGTGTCTAGATAAGTGTCTCGTCCCGTTTTTGGTAACTGCCGTGAATACACTATTACATGTTTTACATTTTGCCCATTGTTCACCATCTTTACTTAGGACAAAATAACGCCATACCTCACTCCTTCGGTTTTTCAAAAGTAGCATCTCAGTTTCGGTTAACCATTCATGATGTGTGTGATGGTTAGTAGTGGGACTAGTGGGAGTGGCAGTAGAAGGGGTAGAACCGGAGGGAATTCGGGTACTTTCTTGGCTACCTTGGCTAGAACAATAGTTTTGTTGATTACCGATATAATTAGGTGGAAATTGGTATGGTGGTAGTGGAAATTGGTTTAATGGTGGTGCTGGAAATCCCGACGTATTATATGGCTCATAGCCCGGGGGGAAGTAAATGGGGTCATTGGTTTGACTCGTAATTTGGGGGCTCGTTGTATTTGGTGGTTCCCTAGAACTACTACTACGGATAAGTCGGTCTTTCCCCCTAGACCTAGATGATGGGTTGTTCGATGCCATAATTAACAATTAATTTTTTAATAAAAAGTGGTTAACTATAATAATAATAATTAATAACAACAATTTTAACAATAAAAATATCAATAATATTAATTAATAACAACAACTATAACAATAACAACAAAAATAAATAATAACAACAATTGTAACAATAATAATAATTAATAACAACAATTATAACAACAACAATAACAATTAACAACAATAATAATTAAACAAGATTATTCTAATAATAACAATAAAACAATAATAAATTTAAGATTAGTTTAGATCTTACAACCGTGCTTCAACGCTCCACTAATTACGATTACGAACTTTTTAATTTTTTCCGATATTAGGAAAATAATTAGAGAATTTAAGAGAATAATTAGAGAATTTAAGAAAATAAGGATTATTAGAGATTTAGAGAATATAAGAGATAAGAAGAAGAGATTGTGATTTTGTGATTTGGGAATGAAATGGAGGTGAGTATTTATAGAATTTTTGGCAAAAAACTAGCCGTTTTATAGCCGTTGGCCCGCGGGCCGTGCCTGCGGGTCGTGCCTGCGGGCCAGCACGGCGGGCCATGCCCGTGCTCGTGCCGGGCCGTGCCTGGGAATTCTCAACCGTGTCCGTGGCACGGCCCGTGGCACGGAAGTTGAACTTCGTGTCGTGCCGTGCTTGACTTCGGGCCGTGTCGGGCTGCGCCGAACGGCGGGCCGTGTCGGGCGGCACGCGGGCCAACCCGGCCCGTGCCCAGGTTTAGTTGTGAGCTTTATTTATTTTTATTTATTTTTTGGGAAGTTCTCATTGGTAGCAACAAACTATTGCACATTCTCATTGGTAGCAAATTTTTTTAAAAAATCTCTTAAATAGCATTAGTAATCTAATTACTCTCTAATATAGCATTATTTTACTAAAACTAACATAATTAAGTTAATTGGACTAACCATGGATACATAATTTCCCTCCAACACAATTAAAACGATTTCCCTCCCCCAAAAACTAGGGTTCTTATCTAAAACTCCTATTTCCCCAATTTTTCTAACTTCCATCTTCTTCTTCCTCTGAATTTTATATAATTTTCTAACTCCTATTTCCCCAAATCACAGAGAAGAGGGAAACAAAATTAAGAGGAAGAAGAAGATGGAAGTTAGAAAAATTGGGGAAATAGGAGTTTTATATAAGAACCCTAGTTTTTGGGGGAGGGAAATCGTTTTAATTGTGTTGGAGGGAAATTATGTAACCATGGTTAGTCCAATTAACTTAATTATGTTAGTTTTAGTAAAATAATTCTATACTAGCATAGTGCCCGTGCGATTATAAATCAAATTATTAAACCCGTAGGAAAAATAAAAATAAAAACAGAGGTAATTCATTTACTACTAAAGGACTTGGTTACTAATGGTCAATAAAAAAAAATTTAAAGGAACGTAATTTGAATAGTATTTTATGTTATTTGAATTTCTTTTAATTTTTTATAATGTTATTCTATTAATTGAAAAATAATTGAATAATACTCCACATAGCTATATAAGAAGTGGACTAATTTATTTATATCTCCTGTTGAGAAAAAACTATAATTTTCTTATCATACCATCCGCATCAGTAGCTACAATCAATCTAATATGTACATGTTTTATTTACCCGTTGCACTCATTAAATCTATAAATACAATAATAACCTTATATTTGACCTACCAGAACATATATTTTCCTAAGTTAACCATTGTGCCAAAAACTATATATTATATAATAGTCACATATATAACCAACAGCTGATTAAATATAGTATACAACACAAATACTTCGTATATAGGTATGGATACTGATAATTTTATATAAATAAAATATACGGAGTATATATTACTAAGATTTATCCCTACCTCAATTATAAAAAGGTTAACAAAACTCTTATAATAGTGCATGGACATTTATACATCTAAAAATGTTCTTTTTACATATATTTTCCCCCATTTAATTTTAAAAGCCTTAAAATTGTCTCTTGATTTCGCTAAATTGATTTAAAAGGTTATGTTTATTTCAATATTTAAAGCCATTTACTATTTTCATTTCCTTTTGTTTTAATTTTTCTATTTAGAATGAATTTATTAGACTATTAGGTTTCAAGATCGAAGTCAATATCTTTTTACCGTACAGTCACTAAATCAAAGTCGCTCAACTAAAGTTTTGGACATTGCATAGCTACACAACATCCAACACATTTAATGATTACGTGCAAATAATTTTAATAAAACTACGCATTCGATATAAGTTATTAAACAATTTAACTATATATACATTTTGATAGGTTTATATCTTTCATATTAACAAAAATTTACAAATGTTATTATTATATTTTGAAAAAAAATTTAGACTTTGGAGTTTTGTATAAGATAGATAAAGGATAAGTTAATTCCCGACATATATGCATTGAGTTTTGCGTGTTCTATCCGGTTCACCCTTTGGGCTAATCCAGATTTGAGGATCAGTTCTAGGTTATTAGGTTCCATTCCCCTTCCGATTGTTGTTGCAGGGGAGCGAACACAGGTCCTCCCTACCTAGTGTAGTCTCAGTCACCACTACACCAACAACCAATTGATGTAGTGATGATTGGGACTACACTTGGTATGGAGGACACGTGTTATAAAATATTATATTATATACATATACTTTTTTATATTATAAAAAATATTATATTATATACACATACTATTATAGTTAAAAGTATTATTATGTATAAAACAACATAAATTATTGCACATGATTGTTGTATATCTAGTATAGTACATGAGCAATGCACGATTTTTAAATTCATAAGTAATAACATTGTTATTACGAATATTACAATTTAAACACACGAGTAATAGTTATAATACATTTTATATTTGTCCCTTTTCCGTCAAATGTCTAATTCAATTTAACTTTTATTCTTCTTATTTAGATTGGTTATTGATTCAGTTTTTTTTTTTTTTTTTATGCAAGAAAAACAAAAGGTCATTGTAAAAGACGTTGTATAGAAAATGAAAGGCCGATTAAAATTAAATTTATGTTCAAGATTATGTATTTTTTTTCCAAGACAACATTTCGGCTCAGCATTCAGTATTTGTCAAGGAGTACAACAAACGATAAAAGTAATTTTTACACTATTTTGTATCTTTATCAAAAACTTTTGTATTCATCCGATTACTTGAATTGAATTGAATTTAAGGATAACTTGTAGACTATTTTGGGTAACTTTTATCAATAAAGCATAAATAACGTTCATTCATTACAGGGTAGATTTTATAATAGGTGCACAATATTTTATTGTACATCTGATTTTTTTTAAAATGTTTGTATTGATTTCATAATTGACGTCAAACTAATTTCTATCGATTTTATTTAATTTTCATAAAAAAATATTAGCCTTTCAAAATACGAAATATTTGTTCCTTAATTATGTCACTTTAATCATATTGCTTCAAATTAGTTATTATTCTTTAAATTGACTATAAATAAATATTGGAAAGACTTTATGGATTATTTGTAGTATTGGAAAGTATATATTTATTATAAAAAAAAAAAAATCAATATTTATGTTAGGAAATCATGAAAATCTTATGCATGTATAGAAACTTGCTTTTATTGTTTGAAGTTTAACAAAAATAACTATACTTGAATATGTAAACAATAATTATATAGATATATTTTATACATAAGATAAGCCAATGAGAGAGTGACATTTGTCATCCTCACATTGAGGCGCTTGTCTTTTAGTATAATATATAGATTATTCTTTAAATTGACTATAAATAAAGATTCTTTTAGTATAATATATAGATTATTCTTTAAATTGACTATAAATAAAGATTGGAAAGACTTTATGGATTATTTGTAGTATTGAAAAGTATATATTTATTATAAAAAAAAATTAAATCAATATTTATGTTAGGAAATCATGAAAATCTTATGCATGTATAGAAACTTGTTTTTATTTTTTGAAGTTTAACAAAAATAACTATGCTTGAATATGTAAACAATAATTATATAGATATATTTTATACATAAGATAAGCCAATGAGAGAGTGACATTTGTCATCCTCACATTGAGGCGCTTGTCTTTTAGTATAACATATAGATAGATAGATTAGAGAGTAATTAGATTACTAATGCTATTTAAGAGATTTTAAAAAAAAAATTGCTACCAATGAGAATGTGCAATAGTTTGTTGCTATCAATGAGAATTTCCCTTATTTTTTTCATTAATAAAAATACGGAGTACATTTTAAACTTACAACAGAAAATTGATATTGTACAAAATTTTTAATCCAAAAGAGGTCGAAGTCAAAACAAAGCTCAAGTCACCCTCTCTTCAACCAATCAAAAGACAACCTTTTATTGCATTATTCTTTCTCATTCTTTTTTATTTCATTTTTCTCCATGAAATAATACGTGGCAACCGCTGATTAGTTCTTATTTGTGCGGCTCGATTTGTCAAATGAATGCAAATTTCGGTACTCCTCCTCCATCACTGTGATCTGTGACAGTGCAGTATCTTAATTCATCAATTATTGAATAAATAATAAAAAAATCACATAAGATAACAAAAAACACACAACCACCTACTACAATTTGTAAAATTTACATAATTGATAAACAACAACAAAAAATTGAAGGATTTCATTTATTGTGAGTGTAACTTGTATGCTTACAACTATGTTACAAAACCCATTTTTGTCGCATCAAAGTCATTAGTTCAATAACTTAATTCGGAAAGAATGAGGTCGGCTACATGAACCAAGATTACGTATCGTGGGTCATCTAAGTAGTACAAAATTCATACCCCATTTGCAAGATTGATGAAAGATTTGATCTTTTTTAAGTTGATTATTTTTGGGGGTAATTTGAATTTGATACATTTCTTTTGTTGAAAATTTGATTAAATAAAAATGGGAGGAGATTTGATTGAAGAGAGTAGTAGTCTGACATGGGTTGGAAGTGGTGGGAGTGGAACTTCAAGGTGGGTTGATGGAAGTGAAATGAGTTCAGAAGAAATGCCAAATTGGTCAAAAATGGATGAAAATGAATTTAGGAATAGATATAGTTCTTCTTCTGGGTCTTTTAAAAGAAGGCTCGTGAAAAGGCCTAAAAGAGTTAATTCTTTGGATGTTGAAGCTATGCAGATTGCTGATGCCCATGCTCATCACAATAAGGTTTGTTTCTTATTCCCTATGGCTTTATTTTGTCGTGTCGTATTGATATTGTTATATGTAGCATTAAGGGCTAAGAATATGCATATTATATATTTGTTCGAAAATAGAATTTCATACAATATTGATTTAGATGTTTAATGATTTTACTGCAATTGTCTTGTCAGAGAAAAAAAAAACAATTCAAGTAATTAATTAATCAAGGATGCTGAGATTTTTGGGAATTTCAGACAAGTGAGGGATGAAAATGTGATAAGTTTAGAGGTGTGATTGTGGTTATGCTTTGTCGTGGCTTAGTACTATCCCCGTCTCAAAATAATAGGCCACATTTAATTTTATTTGATCACTTAGTGATGAGATAATCGTCATATTGTATGATTCATTGGAATGAATATTGTATGAAGTTTTGTTCTGCATTCCAATGCTAATGCCAATATCAGATTGGGCTCTTAGCCTTTTCTTCCAGTAATTTGTATAAGCTTGCTCATGGGTGAAAATTTAACAATCTACTAAAATATGATGTTCGTGTTATTGAATACAAATTGACTATTATACAGGAACTATCTACATGGCATACTCTTTCATTGGCATTCCAAACTCTTGGTGTGGTGTATGGTGACGTGGGCACGAGTCCTTTATATGTATTCACTGATGTGTTTAGTAAGGTGCCTATAACATCGGAAGTTGATGTTCTGGGAGCTCTGTCTGTAATAATGTATACGATAGCCCTTGTGCCCTTGGCAAAATATGTATTTGTAGTGCTTAAAGCTAATGATAATGGGGAAGGTACATGATTTTCCAACTTTCTTTTCGTCTTATGTGCTTTATCATGAGTTATTTTGCATCTAAAAATAATAGGCTGCTTCTGGCTGCAGGAGGGACATTTGCACTGTATTCTCTTATAAGCAGGTACGCTAAAGTGAATAAGCTTCCAAATCAACAGCAAGCCGACCAACAGATCTCTAGCTATAGGCTCAAACTACCCACTCCGGAACTTGAAAGGGCTTTATACATTAAAGAGATTTTGGAAAAGAACGCTTTCATGAAAACCCTTCTTCTATTTTTGGTTCTTACTGGAACTTCGTTGATTATAGGGGATGGCATCCTGACTCCAGCTATGTCAGGTATGTAATTATTACAAATGAGCACATCTATTTTAAAATGGAGTATGTGTATGCTACTTAATATTCTCTCTTTCTGTAACGAAGATTATAGTAACTGTGGAATTGCTACTCAATAAACATCACACTTCCACAGCTTAAGTTCAACAGTACTAACTATAAGTTACAAATATCTTTGTGAGCACTTCCTTTCTGTATTCTCAGCCTTTTTCGAGTTGGCTGTGCTAATTTGTCCAATATCTGTAAGGATATACTTTTATCTGACCACTTCAAGGCAATATAAAATAAAGAACATAGGAAAGCTTTATATTCATGTTAGCCACTTCTTTAGAGCCCAGGCATTTGCTTGCCTCTGCATCGCCATGACAATTTTTGTAGTCCTTTAAGCTTCTGCATAAAATGAACTTCATAAAACTAAGTGCTAGAGTTACATATAGACTATAAATGCTTTCTTGTGAATCAGCTTTCTAATTTTTCCTCTAATTCTCATTTACTGTTTTCCCTTGTGCAGTTATGTCAGCTGTAAGTGGTTTGCAGGGCGAGATTAAGGGATTTGGTCCTAGTAAGTATTCACCCTTTACGCAAACACAGTAGTTTAATAGCTTCAATCCTGTTATCACTTTCATCACACAATGTCAAATCACTCAAATGCAAATATTTCTAGGTCTTTTAGATGGGCTGGGCTGCTGTAGTTATAAACTTGTTATTGAATGTTTTAAGCATGGGACTGAAGTTTTGTGATGTTTTGACAGACGCTGTAGTCATTGTTTCGATGATCATTCTGGTTGGATTATTCAGCATACAGCGTTTTGGGACCAGCAAAGTTGGCTTTTCATTTGCGCCTGCCCTGTCATTGTGGTTCTTTTCTTTGGCGACTATTGGAATCTACAACCTCCTTAGACATGATATTACTGTCCTGAGGGCCCTGAATCCAGCTTACATCTTCCTTTTCTTTAGGAAAAATGGTGTTCACGCATGGTCTTCTCTTGGCGGCTGTGTTTTGTGCATCACAGGTATATATTTTGTGGTTCCTTCAGCCTTTTATGCGGAGAAATTTCAGCGTAAAGGCCTTAAAATTAGCATTTAGAACCATTCAATCTTGTTATATATTTTTTTTATCAAAGCAAACTGTTGCTATTTGCTGTAACATAATTCCTCGTGATCATTGCTCTATGTAATCAGCATGAAACAATCCCATTTGCTTGGGTTGTTGCAACTATGTCTCCTGTTTTTCTTGGTTTCAGAGCCAATATCTAACTAGCATACATTGCTGAAAGCCTAAAATCACTGTTTCTTACCTGAAAATCCATGTACGAGTTGCACCTATGCTATCAGTGTAACTTGTGAGCTATGTGATTACAGGAGCTGAAGCAATGTTTGCTGATCTAGGCCACTTCTCCGTACGATCTGTTCAGGCAGGTCTTTTTAGCATATAGTACTTCTAAGTTCCATCACTGCCTCACTACTTTTGTTGATTTATAATGAATGATGGAACTTTCAGATTGCATTTACTTCTGTTGTGTTCCCTTGCCTTCTGCTGGCTTACATGGGCCAAGCGGCATTTTTGATGAAATTTCCAGCCTCAGCTGAGCGAGTATTCTATGATAGTGTGCCAGGTGAACCTTTAATAGAAGTTACTTCTTTATGGTCTTATAGTCTTATATCATATGAGCTTTTTGCTGACACTTCTATAAAACTTTCTGGTTACTAGATGGATTTTTCTGGCCAGTCTTTGTGATTGCTACACTTGCTGCCGTTATTGCCAGTCAGGCTATGATATCTGCTACCTTTTCGGTCATAAAGCAAGCCATGGCTCTGGGATGTTTCCCGAGGTTGAAGGTAATCCACACCTCGAAGAAGCAGATGGGTCAGATTTATATCCCTGTCATCAACTGGTTTCTGATGGTAATGTGTCTAATAGTGGTTGCAACGTTCAGAAATACCACGGACATTGCAAATGCATATGGTAAGGAACCTCTTTTTAAACGTCTTCCAATCCCTCTATTACTCCTACAACGTTTACTTATGAATCACATATGCATTTTAAGTTCCAAGTTTACATCAATATGCATGACAGTATGACACAACTGACTATTGAAGAAACATATCATATGGCGTAACAAATGTTATTTCAGGAATTGCTGAAGTTGGAGTCATGCTGGTCAGTACAGCCTTGGTGACACTAGTCATGCTTTTGATCTGGCAAACTAACATATTCCTAGCTCTCGCTTTCCCTATTGTATTTGGGACAATTGAGCTCATTTATTTATCAGCAGTCCTATCAAAACTCTTGGAGGGCGGTTGGCTTCCTTTAGCCTTTGCTGGGTGTTTCTTACTAGTAATGTACACATGGAACTATGGAAGTGTACTAAAGTATCAGAGCGAGGTCAGGGATAAAATTTCTATGGATTTCATACATGATCTCGGATCTACTCTTGGAACTGTAAGAGTCCCCGGAATTGGATTACTCTACAATGAGCTAGTTTATGGCATTCCTTCCATTCTAGGACAGTTTCTTTTAAGCCTTCCTGCCATTCATTCTACCATTATCTTTGTTTGTATCAAATATGTTCCGGTTCCTGTAGTACCTCAAGAAGAACGATTTCTCTTTAGAAGGATTTTCCCTAGGGACTACCATATGTTTCGTTGTGTTGCTCGTTATGGTTACAAAGATGTACGAAAAGAAGACCACCATTCATTTGAACAACTTCTGATTGAAAGTCTGAAAAAATTTCTGCACAATGAGGCCCGAGATCTTTCTCTTGAGGCCAACATGAATGAACTAGATATGGACAGTGCTTCAGTGAGATCAGCAGATGCAGTAGACCCTGACGATGAGCTGAGAGTCCCACTGATGCATGATCAACGAACAGTTGAGTCAGGACATCAGCCATTGAAGTCAGAAGACACCGAGGAGTTGCCATCGAGTGCAATGTCAACAGAGGAGGATCCTAGCTTAGAGTACGAATTATCTGCTCTTCGAGAGGCTGTTGATTCAGGTTTCACATATCTGCTAGGGGATGCAGATGTCAGAGCAAAGAAAGAATCCTGGTTTCTTAAGAAGTTGGCCATCAACTACTTCTATGATTTCCTGAGAAAAAATTGCCGGAGGGGCGCTGCTGTACTCAGGGTTCCACACATGAACATCATAGAGGTTGGGATTACATACATGGTTTAATTTCATGGCAAATTTACCTCATAAAGATGTAAGCTAAGCTTCTTGAAGTTCATCATTTATGGATTGGCCTTCTAGCATGTTATATTAATATAAATGTGTTGCATTATTTTAACTCTAAGGGTCTTTCTTTTCTAAAATTAACTAGCCTTATGGCCCGTGCAATGCATGGGTTATTCATATAAAATTGTATTGAGAGATAAGTGAGGAAATATCAATAAGTCATTACAGGGTATAATATGTAATAGGAAACGTGATTAAAGAAATTACAATTTTGGAACTTTAATTAAAAAAAGAGGCTTAAATAGAAGGTGGAAGGGCTAAAATTAAAGAGAGAATAGGAAAAGGTTTAATTAAAGGGGAGAGATGAAGATGAAGAGATGAATTGTGTATGAAAGATGAAGTATAAGTTTAATGAAAGAATTAAAAAAAATGGTGCAATAAAAAATTAATAGTGTAAGATAACATGTGGCACTATGGTTAGAGAAGTGTAATAAAATGGATGAGGATATGTGTCTTTCTTAGTTTCTTGGCTATAGTTTTTAAATACTAAGTATAGATATAGATATATATTAATAATATGGTTGATTCATACCAATAAGGTCTCGACCTATTGATTAAGAATGAGGATTTATGTTCGATAAAATATAGCATCTTTCTCAAACATATAGCAAAATGGGTATCTATTTATAACAACGGCACAAGAAATCTATATGCTCAATTGCAATCTCAACCTACTAGTAGTATGATCGATGTTTTGCTAATCTCTTTTCGGCTACTCACTCATGCACCTTTAGGTCAGATTGCCCATATTTTGTCCATCATTCTTTCATCCTCAGTATTAATACGTATATAAAGAGATGTTCTTTATTCTAAAGGTACAAATTCATTGTCTGTGGCTTTTGTTATGCCACTTAAAACTTAACATCATGTGTTTCTTTTAGAGATGATGTTCATGAGTATGACATTTGTGATTGCATAGAGTGTCCAATCTCAATGGTCCCCTAATTTATACAATTGCCGACAACAAAATTTTCAAACGAACCTTGATTTGTAACACCCAAAATAAAGGGATTGTGATGTGGCATTGTCACAACTAGATTCGGATGTATTGTGTAAAATTACACCTTTTTATCTACTGGTATCGTCATTTTACGTGCTAATGCTAATTAGGGGGTGTAATGTTTCATCCGAGTGTAAAATGGAAATTGTAAAGACACATGTTATTCCTTAATTTTCAGACTAATTAGCATCATATGCAGGATTACTTTAGTGGTTTTACTTATTCATTTAGGTTAGGATTTACACTCATCAATTGGGGATAAAGTTTTCAATCTTATTTAAAAAGAAGAATAGATAACACTCACCTACACCTTATTATCAAAAGGATTTGTTAATACACTACTTGCGTTCAAAAAAAGATAGTTTGAATTTATAGTAGAAAATTGAAACAATTTTTAATAACACACTAGTAAACTACATTATCCCCAATTGATGAGTGTGAATTCCTTAATAATACACTAATTAGCATCATATGCAGGATTACTTTAGTGTCTTTACAATTTTTAATAATACACATGTTATTTCTTAAAATTGTAAAGACACATGTTATTCCTTAATTTTCAGACTAATTAGCATATCATATGTAGGATTACTTTAGTGGTTATTCTTATACACTACTTGCGTTCAAAAATAGATAGTTTGAATTTATTGTAGGAAACTGAAACAATTTTTAATAACACAACTAAAACCTATCAATTTATTGTAGGAAATTGAAACAATTTTTAATAACACACTAATAAAGATCTCCTATATTGAAATATGAATTAGACGACGTCGAACATATATTACATCATAGCTTTAATGAAATAAAACCTATCAATTTTTTGTAGGAAATTGAAATAATTTTTAATAACACACTAATAAAGATCTCCTATATTGAACTATGAATTAGACGACGTCGAACATATACTGTATCATAGTTTTGATGAAATAAAATATTTTAAATTACAAAATATACGTAATTCTTATTTATATTCATGTATATATAATAGCGATTTATTATTAAAATGTACAAATTAAAAATAGGTTTTATATAAATCGTGCATCGCCTAGTTTTATCTATTGAATGTGAGCTGGGAGGCAATGAGGTATGGCATATTGAGATAAGCGAAGGGGTTTTGGTCCTTTATATATTTAGGAGTTATCCATCACCAAAAAGCCTTGTGCTACCTTTTTATGGATCTTAAAACTTTAACTTTTGACTTTTTTAGGCTTATTAGATCAAGTTATTCCTTATAAGATACGTAATAAATTCTTTCAAAAAAGAAAAAAAAAAGGGTACGTAATAAAATACTCCATTAAATTAATGGAAGCTAATTAAGGTTGAGTCTCAACATTAGTGTTTTATAAATTGAATGTATGCAATTATATTATGAGACACGATGTCATATCATAAGATGAAAAGATACTACTTCATTATTCAGTAAAAAAAATTACCTCACAATTAGTAGGCTAATGTTTAGTGCCACATTTATCTTACCATACAAGTAATAAATGCACCTCATGTTGCACCAAGAAAAAAAAAGCACCTCATGTACAAATTACAAACTTAAAATACAAAGTCATAATAAAGTTATATTTCTAAAATGGAAAATTTGCAAATTGCAGCCCAAAAGTTCATATAAATTATAAATTGCAGCCCGATTTAACTTTTTTATCGGTTTACAAGTTGAAAAATCTTCGATTAAGGTTTTCGGGGCCATTTTAATTCTTAGGGGTCCGAATTGAGCTCGGAATTAGCAAAAAAATAACGCAAGTATCTCGTTTTGCGTAACAAAAGTGTATCAATTTGTGGGAAACTGTAAATATGAGATACTTACGTTATTTTTTTGCTAATTCCGAGCTCAATTCGGATCTCTAAGGGATAAAATGACCCCTAAAACCTTAACCGAAGATTTTTCAACATGTAAATCGATGAAAAAATTGAATCGGGCTGCAATTTACAATTTATACGAACTTTTGGGTTGCAATTTGCAAAAAAAAAAAAATAGTGGTTACAATTTACAAAATACAAACTTTAAATGATTGCAATTTGCAAATTTTCCTTCTAAAATTAATCACATTGAAGTAATAAAGTTATAAACTTCAACAAAGCTAGTTTAGTACACTTTTGCTTTTGCATGTAAATATATCTTTGTAGAAAGCCCAAAAGAAAGTCCAAAGCCCTCAAGCAAAGGGAGGAAAAGTTGGGCTGGACCATATCTGAAATTTGTACCTTTCAACCATTTTTTTTTTCTTTTATAATTTCATTTGTTTGGTAAATAAATAAATCCAAAGCAAGAAACAAACATTCTTGTAAATAAACTAGCACTTTAACATGTAGAGTCTTTATCTAAACAGCTGTAAATGGCCAGCCAGCCCCTTCACAAACTCTAGAATAATTACTTGTAGATACTGCAAAAGTGGCCCAACTTTTAAAGTATAAAAAAAAAAAAGTGATTGTAGGATATTGATGATACTATCCAAAAAAACAATAGGACAACCTAAACAATTACACATTTACACAAATCAAGCACTATCCTAAATCCTTTTCGTATATACTAATTTTAAAGGTGTCAACATTACATCCAACCCCATCTAATGCGAAACCGACTCAAAAAATATATGATTCAGATTTCGACTTGCGTTGGCACAATATTTTAACATGACTCAAGTATAAAAATTGATCCCATCTAATTCGACCTCACCGAATTAGATCTGGACACCTGAATTGACATCTCTAATTTTAATTGGAATTTTTTAAATCTAGATTGATTTGATATGGTCTAATATAATACTCTGCATGAACGATATGAATATCAAAGTAATACTTGTAATCATATGTTAGCAAATAGGTAGAGGAGTTGAAATCATTCCAGCCTCATATCCAATTGCCCTACATTCACTTGCCTAATCCATATTTCCTTATCTACCCAATGCTCGATTTGTATCACAATTTCAAAACGATTTAAATATCTTAAAAACAAAGTAAAATAAAGTTTTAATATCATTAAGCGAATAATATACCTATAGTTAGAATCATTTGGATGATGAAGCGAACAGAATTTAAGTTTATCCTCCTTCATATTATTGAAGAATCTAAATTTTTTTTTTTTTTTCATTTTATTTATGATGATAGAATATGCTTTGAATATTATGGATACACGTACGAGTGATGGATAAAAATAGAAAAGGGGGGAGTTGAGTAGTTAAGAAGGTCATAGCTCCAATTATCTAAAAACGACCACGTAATACACAACATTTCGTCATGGTGTGCAAACTTACAAAGTAATAAGCAACAAAGTCACATCCTCGAGAATTTTGATAACGACTTATATAGGGACATTGGACGTTCAAAAATTAGGTAAAGGCCTTTTTACGTGCGATTTTGGGTCCCCCTAATTTTCACCAACTTGGTTTCGTACCCACATAATTTTGGTATTAATGGATATGTCATCTCATATACTTCCTTTGTTCTTCCTTTGTTCTTGTTTGTAATGATGTACGGAGTATAATCGTATTACGGAGTACAATTTAATAAGAAAAGTATTATATCAGAAAAATCGATCACCATGAGTATGAGAAAGTGTTATACTTCCTCCGTTTTTTTAGTTGCTACACTTTTGTTTTCATAATCTTCTAGATAATTTTTTAAGAGGAGAGAGATAGAGAGCTAAATAAGATGGACTCATGTGAGTAAGAGAGAGAAATAGAGAAAAAAGAATGTCAAAAATGAAAAGTTTTGCAACTTATTAACAATTTTTAAACTAGAAAAGTATAGCAACTAAAAAGAAACGGAAAAAGTATTTATTAAAACAAAATGAAGGGATATTAGATTGTACAAGATATAAATAATTTGGTTCCTTGAAAAACAAAATTATAAATAATTTGCAAAGAACAACAATTATGATAGCAAAATGAGGTTGCATTGTTGCATGATTTCATTTTTTAAAGAGTGTATAGTTTTTGAGAATCATGGAGTATGTATGTGAAGAATAAGTTGTAGCGGAAAGTTACAAATACAACTCCTCTATATTATATAGCACTGTAAAAAACCGAACCGAACCGGTGAAACCGAAC